TCACAGAGTTCAATCAGAAAGTTAGTCCATCTATTTGCCAAACATCTATCAGGTTTATGGTTGACTAACTCCATAATCATTTCGCGAGCAACCAAAGTTCCTTTCTAAATACATCATTAAAAATTCAGGAACAACTTGTTCATGCATACTGTCTACAAAAATAGCTGATGTTTGAAAGGACGAAATCATAAGGCGAACATTAATCCCGAGTCAGACAGGACATACATGGGTCGAAGAAACAGCCCGTCATTATGACACATATGACCTACCGCACAGCTACAATAAAATATATACCGTATTAACAATGGTATATTATGATTCATTTGTTTTGCTACTTTTGAAGAATATTCGGATGCAATAGAACTAAAAACGGAAGCATCGGAAACTAGCTCTCGCAGTGGAATGCATTGAAAATATTATTTATAACATAAAACTAATGTTACACTCTTCCTGTGTACCTCTCTATCGACTCAAGTGTGCAGACAAAACCAAGTATGTACTTGATACTGGTTAAAACATATAGTCACACGAAGAGTCGTCTTTATACTGGATTCTTCTCTCAGCTAGTGATATCACTCTTTAGACTTTACGAGTAGGTTACCCTAAGGAGCTTTACCTTCGTGTCATGATCTCGATTCAGAACCGTTTTACTGGAACACTTGCTATCAGCGTTTATTTGAAAGCAAGAGAGATCTAAAACAATAGCATACAAATCAGGAGCAGTGAACGCCTGAGGACGAAAAGCATGAAGTGCTATCGATGTCGCATATCTATTTCGAAAATCGAATCAGGCAGTTCTGTTACAAAATGCTTCAAACGGTTGTGGACGGAATAGAAGAAGCTTTAACTTAACGCTCTTCCGTGTCTAGTAGCAGTGGATCACCAATACCTCCAGGTAAGAACCTAGGTATAATAACGATAATAGAGAAAAAAAGAACTTGGTAAATCAAGTCAAGTTTCCTCTTAAAGGACTCTTGAGAAGTCGCGAATTCCAGTATTTGACAACTCTTACGGAGTAGAAGTTGTGTCTACAGTCTGTTCTACTATGTTGGATTTCCAGTTTCTGGGTGTTACCTCTTAGGTTAGTGTTGTGGCTAAGCTTAAGAAGATGCTTAAGGGGATGACCAGAAGTGTTAAGGATACTGTAAGTCATAAGAAGGTCGTCTGTACGACCCCTGTACTCTAACGGGTAAAAGTTAAGTGATTGGAGGCGCTCTTCATAAGGTTTGAATTGGAGTCCCCGAACTGATTTCGTGGCTCGACGTTGGATACTTTCCAGAGTGTCCTTATCCTTTTGGAGGGAGGGAGGAAATACTGTGTTTCCGTACTCTAAATAGGGAAGACTAAAACTGTTGAAGGTTATGTGGAAAGTTCTACCGTCAAACTGGACATAAATGCGCTTCAATGTTACCAGTTCAATGTTTGCTTGAAAGGCGTTTTTGTCACAGTTCACATACGATTTCAGGTCATAGGGTACCAACACTCCTAAATTGTTTTCGAATTGCGAAACTTCTAGAGAGGAGTTACCTAGGTTATAACTATAGTCTGCAACATGTCTCAGATGGACTACTTCGCACTTCGACGTGTTGAAGGTAAGTCCGTTGTCATCTGCCCAACTTTGAAGTCGGGTCAGATCATACTGAAGTACTAGTATATCATTATGGTCACGTATCTCTCTCCGAAATTTCACATCATCAACAAAAAGCAATAAGTCAGATGAAACTTATTGTGCAAGATCGTTAATGTAAATCAAGAAGAGAAGAGGTCCTAGTATTGGGCCCTAGGGGACCACACTAGGACATTCCATAGCCTGAGAGAGAGTGAAGTTAACCCTGACCTTAAAATGTCGATTTTCTAGATATGAAGCGAGCCAGTCAGTCAGAGGGGGTTTTATACCCAATTGTCCAAGCTTCTTGATAAGACATGCGTGGTCGACCCTATCAAAAGCTTTTTAGAAATCAAGGTGGATGACGTCAACCTTCCCTTTGTGATCAAGGATGGTTGTCCATCTATCCACCGCAGCCAGCAGGTTGGTCATACAAGAATGACCTTTTCATGAAACCATGCTGTTGAGGTGAGAAGAACTTTGAGGATGATAAGTATTCTTGTATACCGTCGTATATTAGGGATTCCATAATTTCGGAAGGTATGGAGAGAAGGACCACTGGTCGGTAGCTTGAGGGTCCACTGCGTCGACCTCCTTTGAAAATTGGTGTGATGTGAGCCAGCTTCCAAATTTCCGGTTGACTGGGAATTCTTCATTTGTGAATATCCAGTTTAAGCGCGACGAAGTCTGACTGTTTCTCTAACGAGTTGCTGACTTCAAATTTTCGAATAACCCCAGAATATCAGTGAGTTTGAGGAACCGAGCTTCAGTAGAGTTGTCGCCTCCAATGTAGACATGTTCCACGAAGTTGATTCTAGGAAGATTGTAATCCCCTAGAATCAGGATATGAGAGAATCCGAGACGCATAGACTGAGTTAATCCCTACAGTAAACGATTGTCATACTCGATGTCGGCGGTGGGCTTCCTGTAGATGACCCCAACCAGACATCTCGAGGTGGTAGACAATCTTACTGATCACCATACTGATTCATCAAGGTTGAGAAACTCTTGGTTGTGAAGTTGGTGCGCCTCCAGGCATGATCGTATGTATAATGCTACCCCGCCCCCTATTCCAACAAAAACATTTCAGGCACTGCTAACTCCTAGTCCGTAAACTGAGACGATATCCAAGGTTTGGATATTCCTATCAGATGAGCATCATTAGCGTTGCTAAGTTCATGTAGCACATCCACTTTGTTTGGCAAAATCGCGGCGTTCATGTATAAGCAGTTTATGCTTTCAATTCGGAAGGCGTGAGCTCTTTCTTTTGTGTCTATATGAGCCTTACGTGAGTGGACAGGTAGCCTACCAATAAAATGTTTTCTCAGTTCGTAGTTCCTTATTTTCAAAATGATCTCTTATATCATTTTTAAGTCCAGTTCACTCGTGACATGTTCTTATCCTAACACAATAATCATTAGTCGTACTGCAATAAGAAACAGTTCACATGCTTAACATTACATTTCTAATACATTCACGACAGAGCAGTTTGAAAATTCCGCTCTTTTAAAAACTATCATAACCTCAGAAATATGACCTAACTGATATTTGCAACATAGGAAAAGTGGAAATTTGTATTTACCTAATCTACTTGACATTTCAAATGAGTAATCCCTAAATATCGAAGTTGCTGCTTGAGTACGCGACCTTGTGTTGCTTGTTTGAATGTATCACCAGAGAATTAATAATATTCGAAGGCATTTTGCTGTGAGGAGACCCATATGATGAAACAGGATATCCTGAATATATCTTGACTAAATTTAATAAGTTTGCATATTTGGAGCTTTCTAACTTATAGGTGAGTAAAATTTAGTGCACATTGATTTTGTACATTGCTTTGTACGACCTGTTTATTTTGTTACATTCACACCTGGCGATTGACTGTCTTATTTAAGATGTTTTTCACTTGCGAAGTTATGCGTACATATTTCATCAGTATGTGTTTGCACTCGGTGAAATCACGTTGAATCTTTGGGGATGTCTATTGATCAACAATTTGTCCCGTCACTTTACGTCACGTATGTTTTTACTGGTGTTTAAAAAATTTACTGCTCCCGAAATAGGATCGTGCCTACTTTCTTTTGCAGCTCACCCGTGTCTCATTATTAGACTCATGCATGCATTATATGCCCTGGTAATGGTTTTGTTACTCTAGTCAGTAGTGAAGCGTAGAACTTGATACATTCATGGATTCTAGCTGTCATATCACATAATAACAATAACAGAATTATCAAGACAAGTCCCCTAGTAGTAAGTATCATCAGTAGAATAAAAAACTAGGTTTAGGGAAAAACGAAAGATTCGAGGAATCGGGATTATTAAGTCGACGGATTTGTTTGTTCTTTTGTGAATGCTTGTTGATTTTCTATCTACAGTTTGCACTATCTTTTTTATCCCTTCAAGGGATATATTCGTAGAATCGTATCTCAAGAAGGTATACGTAATGTATTTAGACTCAATGTATGTGGAATATAATGAGGTCTTCCAACTATCTTGTGGAAAAGCTTGTCCATTATTAAGTATTAACCACTGTTTATGTCACTAGTAGTTTGCCTACTGTGTTCTGTAATAGCCTACTAATAATTGATCACAAGACAACTTATTTGCTATCAGTCCGAAACCGAACGGTACTTAAAAATAGTCTCTAATTGATCACACAAACGTCCACTGGCGAGACTATAATTTTTGGACGAACCAATCAGGTGTAAGAAAAAAGCTCTCGGATTTTGACGCAAAGTTCACTCATCCATTCGACTAAATAAAGTTTCGGCATTATAGCTGATGTCAATTCGTCATGAAAACCTTAAATCTTATTCCTAACCCTAACCATCAACTATAAATCATAATTCTGATTTCTCGCATTGGTTTATAACCCTAATTTGGTCCTGGTTATTAGGTGGACACTCTCAAGGTCACTTTAGCGTCGCTCAAAGGTTGTCCATAAATTACAATCCCACCCGTATACCTTTACAAAAGGGAATACTTGTACACGAATTTGTTGTGCAAAATAACCCTAGTCAAAATTTATATGCAATATATCGTGTTGGTATGCGACTATATATAATCAGCTTAACAGTTTTAATATCCCAGTTTTCTGCATGTTATCGTATATAATCACTTTAAGTAATAGGGTCATTGGTTTTATATTCGCTTTCGCCCCTGTAACCAGCTGGTTAGGGTCCTACACTAGCTCTCTAAGGCATACTAGTTTATTCCTAACCGTATAGACGATTTCAATTCGAAAAATTATAAGTATTCTCTTGACTAGCCACCATTATCGTACCTGAGTAAATTATGATGACTGTAGTACGGATGACTGGTTTGCATACCCATATGTAACCTATACGATCCAGTAACGAGATATGGCAACTTGGACCGATGCATATGTGTGCTTGGTCCTACGTTGTAGCTGACTGATTGATACGATCCAGTGCCTGGTTGTTTCAAAGTTCCGTTTCACTTCATTCTTAGTGTCACCATTATTTTTGTAAATGAAAATTATAACAGTTGGAAGAACAGAAATTAAAGTGAATGCCTCTGTTCCACCATAACTGACTTTAGACTTTATCATGAAGTATCTTCAATCGTCCTAGGTTTTCATTCAAACCTACAAGGACTGCTCAAATTGGCACGCAATAACTTTATAAACTGTTATAAAAACAGTTGAACAAGGATTATTCAGACGCATAAAGTTAGTTTATTTATTTATTTATTTATTTACACATAAATATTGGTACAAGGAAGCACCAGATAAATATGCGCCACACAAATCTCATTCGATTTGTGTGAGGGCTGAGATACTGCCCAGGTGCCCAGACTGAAGCAGGTGGTTTTCTTAGGGGGCCACATCCGGAGCCTTTGACCTGAATGTCTGATCCACAAGGCAGTGGAGCATTGTGAGGAGATGCAGTCCCATGGTAGCCGGTGATCAACGGTTTATTCAAACACCATTTGTTCCTTCAGGATACTGGAGCCCATGTGCACCATTGGTTTGGAGTTAGGGTTTTCCAACTCCCCTAGGTGAACTTTCCATGTCCACCAACCCGGTTAAAGCGTGGGACATTCGCTTTTCGTCCTCTCACTTTCGTAAACAACATCTGTGATACGAGAATGCAGTGAGTAGGACTTCCCTGGCAGGGAAGTAACAAAATTTTTGTAACTATTTAAAAGACTTGCAAGATTAACGTTAGTGGTGCTTTACGAACACTAACTACTGCACTAAAGGTTTATTTGTGATTAATTTTAACTGAAGTTTAGTCATTCAATATTTGGCCGCGTGTTTTTGGGAAAGTACTTATTAATATAAGTAGACGTACTTGTAAGAAATCAGTCAACTACAACGTATGATCAGGCATATATATATATACATCGTTCCAAGTTGCAATAACCTCATTAGCACACGATGAACACCGAATTCATAGTAGTTAATTCAATGGTGGTAATACATAAAAGAAATGTTGTGTATAAGGATATAGTACAGGAAGAAAGATATGAATCAATTAATTGTAAGAAATATGGAATTCGGATTAATGATGTTCAAACTTTTATTAATTTATTTACTTAAACATAGACCTTGGTACAAGGAGACACCAAATAAATTTTCGCCATATAAATCATTCGACTTGTGTGAGGACTGGGATACTGCTCGGTTGCCCAGACCGAAGTAGGTAGTTTTTTTAGGCGACCACATCCGGAGCCTTCAACTTATAGGTCTGATCCATAAAGCAGTAGGGCAACGTCACAAGATGCAGTCCTATGGTGGTAGATGACCAAAAATACGTTCACATACGCCATTTGTTATCTTGGAGTCCTGGGACCCATGTGCACCATTGGTTTAGAATCAGGGTTTCCCAATTCCGCTTGGTGGATCCTTCGTATCCACTAACTCAGTTAAAGCACCCGGCATTCGCATTTCGTCCTCTCAATTTTGTAAACAACACCCCTGGCACAAGAATGCAGAGAGTAGGCTTTCCCTGTCAGTGGCTGTATGCACGTGGCGATGTGAGAGCATTCGGAGAGGGAGAGCTGACTCTCCCCACTCTCTGCCGTGTCAGGGCATTTGGGTGCGGACATTGGTATAAGATTGGTAAGCTTCACAATCATATCATGCAGATAACAGATTCTGTAAAAATAGATAATTTATTCTGCCTGGTGAAGATATGGATAAAACGAAGTCTTCCAGTCTCCTTGATCAATAATGAAAATGTGTTTGTTGTCTCTCTCCTTCTGAATGCGAAAATTTCCTTCAGTAATCTGCATCAACGCCTCAACAAATAATAGGTAGTTAAATGGTGTAACGCTTCTACCACTTTAGTTATCTTGGAAGTTTCATCAGTCCTAGTGTGTTGTTGTATGATGAAATGTCGGTACGGATTTTAGAAAATCAATTGGCTGCTGACAAATTACGTCAGTTGTGACATAGGGGTGGATGTCCATTTTTTACTCAAAGAACAAGTATACTACGTAGCAGATTGGTCTGTTTTACTTCATGTTTTTTAAACGTGACATTTAAGATTGAAGGATATTTATAGGTTACTGGTATTTGTCATAGATGCCTTCAAAGGCTTGCTCGTATATTTTAAGACCACCGAGTGAGTGAGTAGTGCTGGGACTAGATATAGAGTACTAATCAAACATGCCAAGTCCATTGATGTGATAGCAAGTCTTCATCGACAGATTTGGTCCTGACGTGTATTGTGTATCCCCAACCTTCGTCTAACTCGATGCCCAATATTGGCTGGTATAAGAATAGATTGGAAGGAAACTAATAGTGGTCAAACCAAAACATATTTTCAGTCCATGGAGTCACTGACTGTTGGATTAAGCTGTGTAGACAGGTGAAAACTATCTGGCTAGGGTTCATGTGACTATCGTAACCAATGGTTGGAGGCGTTTGGTGGTATGTCTCCAAGATTTCATGCTTTCTTCTCGAGTCACACTGTTTATGGCTAGTGTTTTCAACCACTGCAGATACTGTTGCTTCATCCACTGCCTTAGAACTTATCTTAATAATCTCGTCTTTTTGTGCTCGTATGGCGTAAGGACTTAAGCCAATGAACATGTGTCAGGTTCTACGTTGCGTATGTGTGATTAACTAATTTGTTCAGTAAGCTATTTAAATGGAACATCAAAATGAGTCAAAAGTAGAAAACAATTGATAGGTTGAACTGTTAGTGTATGTACGTAATTTGTGAAGTAACTAACCTATCAAACATCTACAAGTATGTTAACTAGGCTGTGATTTATACTACCGGTATGGGCTAGCTGGATATAAACTAAAAATCTAGCCGAAAACTGAGTGAATAATTCAAGTAACCTCAGGTACATAATCAAAGAACAATAAAATATTCTGCTTTAAATACTTCCGTACCACGTTTCAAATCATAAAAAAATAATGACGCATCATAACATGGTAACTTAACATAACAATCTTTCACTCTATAACTATATACCATAAACTTTTAGATTTAAGCTTTATTCGGTTTGTATTCTTATTAACAAGCGTTGTTGTGCTAAAACAAACAGAACACATTAGGCAACAGTTTCTTTTATTGTAATTTGTATTGCAACTTAGTCTTCTACCATAACAGTTTTATTTTCCCCAAACCCTTTTCCACCCATTTCGGCTTTAACCAGGTACTGACACTATCACACAATAAGATACGTAAACATTACTTGGTAAATAAATCATACTGGTTTTCGTTATTTAGCTTTTAATACATGCCTTACAGTTTAGTAAATGAAATTATATAGGACATAACTTTCCACTTTTAATATATATATATATATATATATATATATATATATATATATATATATTCAAAAAATAATTATTATAAAATTCATGCCAGCTTACAGGTATGATCAGTCACTGTACGGCGATGGTTGTAAGGAATGTGCACGATTCCGAATTGGCTTAGTATATAACATATGACTGTCAAATAACACTGATATACGTATTGTTTTACCCACTTGGAGTAGTGAATCACTAATTAAGACAGTCGATTGTAAGTTATCAGGTTGCAGGCTCGAACACCGCTTTATCTACTTGTCACTAGCCCTTGTACTTAGAGTATGACGGCCGAGAGTGGGGAGTGTCCGCTCTCCCTCTCGAAATGCTCTCTCATGGCCACGCGAATATATAGCCTCTGCCAGGGAAGTCCTACTCACTGCCTTCTCGTGCCGCAGGTGTTGTTTACGAAATTGAGAGGACGAAAAGCGAATGTCCCACGCTTTAACCGGGTTGGTGGACACGGAAAGTTCACCTAGGGGAGTTGGAAAACCCTGATTCCAAACCAATGGTGCACATGGGCTCCAGTATCCTGATGGAACGAATGGCGTACGGAATGGTACGAAATCGTTCCCTCTTACAAGTTAAGCATAGGAAACGTATGGTTTCCTTTTAGTGTCTTTAAATTAGTTAATGATTGAGTTAACTTCTATACTTGCCTTCGTTAAATGTCTTAAGTAGTTTTTCGTATACAGATTTTAAATGTTTTTTTTCTTTTTATAAAGGGATAATGTCTACCTTGAAATTAGAAGATCCCACGGTAGATGTTGGTGATATCGAAAAATATCGTATGGCTTTCTTAATGCAGTTTTTTGTACAACACAAAAGAAGATTTCGATTTCCACGTCTTCGCTTACAGGTATTTACTTGACTGTTTTTTATACAGATGTTCAATTTTTATGGTTTACCGGTAGTAGACAGTAGTGTTTATTTTGTGAACTGTTAGATCTAGTTTTCAATTTCTTCCCTTTGTTGTCAGAGAAAAGCTATTGCGAATTATGACACTATTTCAGGTGGTTATTTTACAACATAGGACTGTGGAATGAAAAGTATTTGTATAGAGCTGCCACCTGTTAGTTAGTCCCCCACGACTCCTTGGGCGGGTTTCTAGGGATTATGCATACCGATGTCTTTGGTTATAAATGAACGATATTAGCTGTCTAACTTTATTGCTAATCGAACTGAATAAAGTTCCGAAAACATTTACTCAATTGCAACTTTACTCTGTCTTGTTGGGTTCATCGTCAGTACGTTAATTAAAAGTCTTGTATTCCAGTTAGACAGAAGAAAGGAAACAATATTCATTGTATGTGTATAGTAAGCTAACTTGTTGCTTCCTTAATAAATCTTTATATGGTACCAATGCAACAATCTTGGTTTATGATTGTCTAAACTTAAAAGCTATCACTCGGTATTCAACTAGTATAGCCATTGAGTTTCATTCATTAAGATATCGATCACCAGGGAATAGATATTATTCATATCTTAGTTCACGAATCCGTACACATTTTTTCAATCCATACATTTTGAAAAAGTTATTTGAAAGCGGTAAGGTTATCTAGACTTCTCATTATTTTATCCGGAATTCACTCATTTGTGAAGCTGTAATACTTCAGGACTACTAAGATTTAGGTCTTGCAATTAAGATCCGATAACTTTATATTCGTCAAATCGTTTTCTGTCAGTCAGCTACAACGTAGGACCAGGCACATTTATGCAACAGTCCAAGTTGCCATACCTTGTTGGCACAAGATGAACACCAAATTTATAAAAGTAGTTAATTTAGTGGTGGTGGTGGTAGTATATAAAAGATAGGTTGTATATAAGGATATACTACAGGAAGGAAGAGAGATATGAAGCAATTTTAATCTCAAGGTTTAAGGGAAGATGAAGAGTGTATACACCTATGCCATTGTGATCGATTCTGAGCCATGTCACACACAGTCTCCAACTATTGGTTACGATAGTCACGCGGACCCCAACCAGGTAGTTTGCATCTACCAGCATGGCTTAAACTAGAAGTTAGTGACTTCAAACACTGATGCCATGTTTTGGTTTGGCCGCCCCTAACTCTCTTCCAACCGTCCCCAATACTAGTCATCATAGCGCGTCGTGGTAATCGGTGTTCAGGCATACGTAACACGTAGCCCAACCATCTCAGTCGATGAAGATTCATCACCTCATCAACTGATTTATCATCGTTCCCTAATACCCTGCGTCTAACCTCACTATTACTTACCCGGTTATCCCAGCAGATGCGAGCAATATTTCTAAGACATCTGTGGTCAAATACTAGTAACCTACGAGTATCTTCTACTCTTAATGGCCATGTTTCACAGCCGTAAAGTAGAACAGAGCGAACTGATGCACAGTATACTCGTCCCTTAATTGATAGACGGATATCTCGTCTACGCCATAGGTGACGTAAGTTGGCAAAAGCCAAACGAGCTTTTTGAATCCGTGCTGAGATTTCGTCAGACACCAACCCATTAGGGCTGATCAGACTTCCAAGATAAGTGAAGTTGTCAACGCGTTCGACTACTTCACTCCCTATCCTTAGTTCAGGTGTTGACGCAGGCCAGTCCTGGAGTAACAATTTACATTTGGATGGGGAGAAACGCATCCCAAACATCCTGGCATTATTACTGAGTTCCAACAGAAGACTCTGCATTTTGCCAGCGTCTTCACCAAACAGGACTATGTCATCTGCGTATTCTAAGTCGCTTAGTGGTCCCCCTGGTAGGAGATCAATTCCTGAAAATTCAGTCGAAGAGAATGTTATTTCCAGCAACAGGTCTATAATGAAGTTAAACAAAAACGGGGATAGTGGACAGCCTTGATGGACACCACTTGAGGTTGTAAAGTCATATGATAGTTCGCCATAAGCTCTCACTCGACTAATAGTGTTCGAGTAAAGAGCCTTCACAAGGTTTATGTACTTCTCAGGTACACCTTTCAATGACAGACACTGCCACAGAACCTCTCGGTCTACAGAGTCAAATGCTGCTTTTAAGTCAAGAAAAACTATCATTGTCGGACGCCGATAAGCGTGTCTGTGCTCTAAAACTTGACGAATGGTGAATATGTGGTCGATACAGCCACGACCAGGTCTGAAGCCAGCCTGATTTTCTCGTGTTTTGCAGTTCACGAGTCTTAGTTAGGCGCCCGATAATTATTGAAGCCAGTATTTTAGATGCTATGTTAGTCAGACTAATCCCTCTATGGTTATCGCAGGATGATTTTGACCCCTTTTTATATATTGGGACAATCAGTGATTGTGACCAGTCGGATGGGATTACATCCGTCTCCCAGATTTTAGCCAGAATATTAGTCAACCTAATCGCTAAAATTGGACCACCATATTTAAAGACCTCTGGGGCCAATCCATCAGGACCAGCTGCTCTTCCTCGTTTCAGATTACCTATAGCCTTTTGAACTTCAAGTAGGGTCGGGGGGCCTACTTCAATGTTCCATTCAGGTTTTCTGGGAATAGTGGGTAGTTGTGCAGTAGCTGAAGGCCAGCTAAACTGCTCCTTAAAGTGTTCCGCCCATCGTTCTAAACGTTTGGGTTTAGAGCAGATAAGGGTTCCGTCTTTTTCGGAGATTGTCTCACTTACACTTGACTTCTTAATTCCGGTTTCTTTTATTAGTCTGAATAGTTGCCTGGTGTTGCTTACAGCCGATGCCTTTTCCATCTCTTTTGCTTTCGTTGCCCACCACTGCTCACGATCGTTCCTTAGACTTTTAGTTAACCTAGATCTAATTTGTTTACGCTCTTCGTCATGTTCAGAGCCTGATGGGATGAGTTTACGCGTATCCATCAGTGAAATAGACTTAGAAGAAATCCACTGATTTTTTGGAGCCCTATGGTTTAAATGACCAATAGATGTTACTGCTGTTTCCACAGCTGTTCGTATGTCTTTCTGTATATACCTATAAATTTCATCTAAGAAAAATGCATAGTACGATTGGTGTGAGTGTAAGCTAGAAAAGCGCTAGGGGAAGTTAATCTAAAACATGACACTAATTCGTGAAGTCTTTGATAATTGGACTGAACCATGCTGGTTGGTTCAAACTACTTGGTTAGGTTTTGCGTGTTTATCGTAATGAATGGTTAGCAACTTTGGGTGATGTTGCTCAAAATTATCTTTAAGGACGCGAGTGCATTCACTTTTTGTCTTTCCTTAGAACTTGATTTCCGAAATCTTATAACTTTTGTTCTTTCTTTTCTACCTAATCTTTTCTAATACTCCTGATGCTATTACTGCTTCTACTACTCCGGGATTTGTTTTGATAATTTTGTCTCGCTATGGTAATTGAGTGTGACAATTTGGACCTATATACATATGTGTCAAGTTCTACTTTGAACATAACTGATTGACTGAATCAACCATTTTTTACGAAAGTTTTGTCTGTAAGAGGGACAAGCTTAAAATAGTCGTGCCAAATTTTAGCTTGTTGTTAGCCAATCAGAAAACAGTTATTTTAAATAAATAGTCCATAGAGCGAAATAAAACAAAGTCTTACACAGATAAGTCGAGAAAACAACGACATATCAATTTATCTACGTAGATGTTGAACATCCACCTTCCCAAACCTTTATAAGGATATTAAAATATGTTTTAAAAGTCTCCAAATTGTTGCTATTAATGTATAAACAGTGTATTTGTGGTTATTTCCAGTTCAAAAACTGAGTAATTATAATTATCTGTAACCGGGTACTATGAGATTACATTTCCTGACGTTGCTCCACTGTCTTGTGAATTAGATCTGTTGGTCAAAAGCTTGGGCAGTGGTCCCTTAGAACAACCACCTGCTTCGGTTTTAGCAATCGGGCAGTTTCTTAGCTCTTACACAAATTTTGTGTGGTGCATGTATATTTTAGTGACCCTTTGTATCAATGTGTCTAAATAAATGAATTATCTATAACTACAGAAAAGAAGGAAACAGAGCACAAAACAAAAACAGTAATAATTATTATGATCAGTCTTATTTATTTATTTAAACACATATATATTGGTGCGAGAGGGCACCAAATATATATGCACCGCACAAAAAAATGTAAATGGGAAGAGGAAAGGGTAAGATGCATATAAAAAAGTAATGGTGAGGGGAACTAAAATGTACAACCAGAAGAATTCTCTCAGTTAAGGAGGTTATAACCACTCTTTATGCAGAAAGTAAAAGAAGGTTACAGCAGGATTGCCACTGGCTTCTATTCTGAGCCATATGTGATAACGTCTCTAGCTACTGTGTAGCACCATGTCTTGGACCTCAACCAGGTAGTCGTAAAGGACCAAGAGAAGCCAGTTCTTTGCAGCTCTCTTTCATACCACGACATGATGTACAGTCATTTCCAAGAATACAAAAGTGTAAGTCACCTCTGAATAGATTCCAACCTTAATTTATCTTTTATACGAACACTACTAAACAATACAATTAATTATTCCTATCTTATATATATATATATATATCCACTAACTGGAAAAAAAGAAGATAGTTCCAATAATTTTTTATGTTTTTCAAACAACATATTAGTCGATAATTTTTTCTCTCATTAATTTCAATAATCTGTTAATCAATCATTTTGCTTTTTAATACTGTTTACTCCCTATATATATACACATATGTCCAATACTTGGACACTATGAATTCATAAGATTTTTATAATTTACATTTCTTTTACTATTTATTTAAACACATAAATATTGATACAAAGGGGCCACCAGATATATACATGCGCCACATAAATCTCATTTGATTTGTATGAGGGCTTGGATGCTACCTGGGTGCCTAAACCGAAGGAGGTGGTTTTCTTGGGGAACCACACCCGGAGCCTTTGACCTAAAGGTCTAATCC